ATTATAGAGGAAAAATGAACCTTAGAAGTCAATATTGCGAAAGTTTTTAATTTACTGTAGTACATATTTTTGAACACTAATGCTTAAAAATATTTATCATTTTAAAAGATCACTATAAACTTTATAGCAGTAATTTAAGTAGGTCAGGAAAATGTCTTATAGTTTGAAAAAATTTAACCAACAAAAACAACACCTATTTCCAATATATAAATAATGCTGTTACAAATTATTTCAGTGTAGGATGACAGAAGGTAACTTGTCATGTTAACCAAATTTCACTTCATTCAAATAGGCCTTGAGGTTTGTAAAATGTTCCTGTGTACTTTTTCTGGATTCAAAGGGAATTTGCCATTATTTATAAGAATTGATAAGTGTTTTGTGAAAGAATCTGCAAGTTCTACAATTTAAAAATAGAATGATATTCAAAAATAAAAGTTATATTAAATTATGGATCTTGAATAGTTCAAGACTTTTACCTATCAAAAAAAAAAAAAAAAACCCTTTTCCTAGGAACATAATTAACTCTAAAGTAGATTTTACTAACAACAAAAGCAAAAGATGCCACCTGCTTTAGACAGCCCTTTTGTGAACCACTGGAAGTCCCAACACAATGCAGTAAAAAATGAAAGTGACACCTGTTTGAAGCAGCCATCTGTCCCTAACAAGCTAGATTTAGTCAAATCCACTTAATCTTGGATTTCCAAAATACGGGAACACTATGTAACTGCGAATAAAGAGGATTTAAAACACACTTTGTGATGGCCACTGGGAATATATACGAAAGAGTTAAAAACAAATTACTCGTTAGGAAAATTGTTTTTAAAGCAACTAAGCCCAAATAGAGGATTTTTAGCCATTCAGCATAAAAACAAAATAACCAGCAGCCTCTCCAAAATGTTAAAGTTTACTGCTTCCCTTTTCTCATTTCTTGTAACACATTCTCACTATGGATACTAAGAACAAAGTAACAGTCCTATTACTGATCAGGACTAGAGAGAGAGAGAGAGACAGAGAGAGAGAGAGAGAGAGAGAGAGTTTATGTTTAACTCTTGCCACACATCTGCTGCTATACCCACCCATTTAAACAAACACATAGACACAGTTAAATCTGAAAAGCCAAAATCATTACATTCTACCTGTTAATTTCTTCAGCTGGAGAATACCAACACAATATCAACTTTCACAAGAAATGAAAAACTTACCAAAAAGTAACATATGTAATCATTTAAACTATGCATAAAATCTAACTTGATTTTAAGATTCATTTATTTTTTTTACTATTTTTAATTCTAAAAAAAAAAAATTTACCATAATAAATTTGTTTCGAGTAAAATAAATTGTTCTAGGTTACAGCATATTAAGCTTACACAGTGTAACCTTTTATTTAAGTACCAAAATAAAGTAGAAAACTACTTGAATACTGAAATAATAATACAGTACTTAAAAAACTAAGTATCACTACAACATTTAAGGATGCAAAACTTCTAGAAATTTATGAGTTTGCCATAAATACATATATGTATGATGCCTAGACCATTTAATATAATTCATAGGCAAAATAAACCAAAAAGACTGAGTTAGGCATTATGACATACATTGAATCACAGATCTTTAACTATTCAAAAGAAGTTACAAGTCACTTGTATTTAATAGCTTTAGTTTCAAAGCATGATCACTTTTACAAATTTTAGTATGAAAACGAAAACACAAGAGATATCGATACGTAATTTAGTCCCTTCTGGGAAAAATATTACAGAAAGAATAAAGTAAATGCTAAGTATCTATCATTGTGTTTAATTTTTAAATTTACCATGTCTTAGTCTTTCTGATTATTTAATCAATTCCACAGCAGCTCTAATAGCAATTTTATCCCACATATATGCTCTAAAAAAAAATGAAAAAGTAATGAAATTCAATTTAAGTTCTGTTCTCAAATCAACTTGTAAATGAAAATCTAAATCACAGAAAACCTGAACTATATGAGTGAAATGCCTCAAAAAAAGTTCTCAGACACTGCAAATAAAATATTAAACCATAACATTATAGCATATAATTTACTTAACTGAAAATCTATTATGTAAATGGCATAAGGTCTGAAACTGTCCCAAGACAGAAAAACTCCTATTAACTTCAGAGAGAGTTTATAGGACCCAGGAGCTTCACCATCCAAAAGTGTTCAGGCATTTGACACTCATCTGAACAGAAAAAAAAAATACGTTAGTATAACAGATTTGCATGGAACCCAGTTTGGGGAGGGGAGGAATAATTATAAAGAAATGTGAGTGCTCTGAGAAAGACTTCTTTCAGAACAAAATATCGTCTTCATTAAAAATAGCAATCACAAGAAAATGAACTGAAAAAGTTTTTTTTAAACCTCAACTCTTATTTTACAAATATTAGGCTTAATAGCATTATAATTACCCACCCTGCTCATTGACAATCTCAAGAATAATTAGTACTGTCACATTATTCACAAGCTGCTCTGTCAGTTAAATCAATATATGTTTGCTATTAGAAAGACTATTTAAGTATTTTAAAATTGTAAATTAAAAACTTCAATATGTGCAACCATAATAGTACGTTATATTTGTTTTAGCACACATTCATTATCAAAACTCTTTACTGATAATTTATTAACTAAAAGTTAAGCTGAAAAAATAAACAAATTTAGGGGATCTGAAAAACTGGCTAATGCTAACCAAGAACCTACTATATAAGAACTAATACGTATTCAAATTACAGAAAAAAATAAATTGAAAAAGAAATACTGAAAAGGGAAAATGTTCTTTCTCCTGAGCAGGTTCAAGTCACTGTCCAAAGATAATCAAAAAGTAAATAAAAATATGTTAAGTACACACATGCCTCGATCTTAACCGCAAAGAAAGTGAAATATACACACGTTTCAAGTTGAGAAGCTTCATACATTCTTTATGAACTTGACTTCAATTTCAACTCTCAAAGGAAAATGAACAGAGAAGATAAAAAAAAAACTCTTAAAGTAACATAACTGCCACAAATAACATTGTGAACTGAGTTCTCACAAAGCTTCCTTGTGTCCTTTCCCTGTTCATCACAAAGTCTCACAACCACAATGAAAATTGTTAACACTCTACTGAGGGGAGGGAGGGTCATCAAAGTGAAACGGAACCTCACTACTACCCCTCCCACCTCCACATGAAGGATAAAGCACTGTCAATAACTACTAACCCAAGTATCACAGATGCCCTGCATCCGGTTTAAATCACAAGCACACACACACATACCAAAAAAGAGAGAGTAGACAGACTTTAAAAAAGAAAAATCTCTTCCTCATTACAGCGAAGAGCTCAGCGAAGAGGCCCCAGGTTTCAATGTGTGTGCAAGGGGTGTTGGGGGGAGAAGAAAGAGGGGGAGGGAAGAGTGCTGAATGGATATTAAGACTGTTTGCCGCACAAAGAAAATACAGTTTTAAAAAGAAAAAAGAAAACCATGAAGCTGATGATGGTGAAAGAAGAGCAGCCCATTTAGCACCAGGCAAAGAGGGGCAAAAATGAAGGGAATAGGCGGTGGGAAAAGTTCACCAACGTACGAGGATAAAAATAACAAAACCCCTAACAAGGCCCCACAAGTGAACAACAACAACAACAAAACAGCACCTCTTGGGTCCCCCCAGCACATTGTTGTCTATTTAGGCTTTGAAAGAATCAGGAAACAAGCAGCGTTGGAAAAGAAGAAAATTAAGAAAAGCACAAATTCTTATCTCTTCACCTGACCCTCCTCCTCAGACCAGACCTAAGGGAAAGATCCAGCATCCGCATCGGAAAACTGTGGCTCCCTCTCCCGCTCCGCTCGCAGCCCCCCGAGCTCCCGCTCCATCCCTGAAGTGCGGCCGGCGCAGGGCCGGGGCCGGCGGGCGGCGCGGCGCCCACACCCCCGACCCAGCCGCGGCGCGCAGGGTCCATTGTAAACAAGCCCGGGGAACAGAGCCCCTCGGCGGCGGCGCCGCAGCGGCAGCCCCCGTGTCAGGAGTGAGACCCCTGCACAGCCACACTCGGCTTGCACACACGAACACACACACGCACGGACACACGCGTTCACACGCAGCCACACGCTCCCACACACATGTAGAGACCAAAGAATATTCACCTTGGCTGTGGATTATTGTGGTGTTGTTGGTGGGTGATGGAGATGGTGGTGGTGGGGAGGAGGAGGAGGAGGAGGAAGAGGAGGAGGAGGAGGAGAGGAGTAGTTGTTGTTGATGGGTAACAGTCGCCAGGACTACGGTGACTATGGCGCTTGATTCACAAGGCAACGGTTGCTATAACTCACAAAAGAGAGAGAGAGGGAGAGAGAGAGAGCGAGAGAGAGGGAGACACTCGCACGGGGAGGGGTGGGGGAGGGAAGAGGGGAGGAGGCGGGCCCGGCCGAGCCGCCGGAAGGGGAGGGCTCAGCGCTGTGACTGACGGCCCCCGAACGGGCAGGGTGACGGAGCACAAGATCGGGATTCCACCGCAGGACTCCGAAGAGGTTCGCCTACGCTTGGCTGGGGGTGAGGGCACAAGAGTCCTCTCGGAGAAACGTTACTACACGCGCCGGCGAAGCCCAGGAGAGTTTAGGGTCGTGGTGCTAGGGGTACTATCTGTGAAACGAGGGCCGTCTCACAGCAGCCAGCTTTGTGCAGAGATGTCCCGGAGGCACGAGAGAGTAATGGCTAATTCGCGGGAGGGGGTGGCCAGGATGATTCCAGGCACTTTGTGGAGAGACAAGCTATGGCGAAGGAACAATCCACCTTGAAGAGCAGCCCCCGCCCGATACGTTACTTCCGGGGCGGGGCGGGCAGAGGGACCCGGATGTGCCGCCGTTTTTTCGTCTCTGAGGCGCCGGCGGTTTTCCTGGTCGCGTCCTCCTCCTAGCTTTCACCTTTTCCGAACGCTTCAGGGCTCCGCGGCCTGCGCTGGACTGGAGGGTCCACGTCACTCTTGTCCTCCTGCCTTCCGTGCTCTGAGCCGCTCCCGCCTCCCGAGGGCACGACTTTGAGGAGCGCGGGCGGAGGGGCGTTAGCGATCTGCCTCTGCCGCCATCTTAGAGAAGGCGAGCGCGGGGTGCGCGTGGGCAGCGAGCCGGCCTCCCGCGGTCCCTGCCGCAGCGTGGCGCGGAGAGGTGAGGTCCAAGAGGGTCCGGCCCTCACTTCAGAACGAAAAGGCGAGGTCATCATTTCTTACCTTCAGGGCTGGGAGTAAGTGCCAGTAAAGAGCAAGAAATTGCCCTCTCCGGAGGCTGTGAAAACGCTTTTGGCAGTTCCCCTCGACGGTTGGCGTAGAGGGGCGGGGTAACTTACACCTGCCTGCGATACCATCCTGTTAGTTTCTAGTTCTCTGTTAGTTTCAGACCTTAAGTGTTCATCTCTCTTTAAAGTCGACCTAACTGGGACTTGAGCTCAGGCCCGGATCCTGTTACCTGCCTTGCCCTCAGCCCCCGTTACTCAGCCTACTGTAGTAGAGGGTCTTGCTGTTTCTGGCTGAATTGAGATAGACGAATGGCTTCCGTCTGTGTTGAATGTTGGTAGCACAACCTGCCATCTCAAACACCCGTTGATAACGCACAGCTTCTAATGCCTCATGTTTCAAACGGACTCCTCCAATTCGCTGCAGACAAGTCCAGCAGGCACATGCCCCCAGGCCCTACGGATACCTAAAGTCTCTCAATATTTGCCACTAATCTGCTTATGCAAGACCATAACATAGAAATAGAGCCTTAGGAAGTTAGTTCGCCTCTTGAGGCTTAATTTTTGCACCTGCAAATAAGAGATTTGGGCCAGCATGAGTTCACTAGCGCTAAAAGAATACTGAGCTCTTATTCTGTGTCCCAGAACTGTTGCTAAGTGTTTTACATACATTATCTCATGTAATCCCAACAACACCAGTGTTAGATAGGTAATTTTCGCATTTTAGAAAAAACACCCCTAAAAGTCGGTGGGTTTAGGTTATGGCTGCGTGCCAGGGAATACAAGGTTACCGTGTTTTAGAAACCAGTTACTTTGGGTACATTTATAAAAGTCATATTGTTGCCTTTGATAATCTCAGGAGTTAACATATGTTCTTACAATAACAATGTGTTGCAGTAGTGAACAGTGGTGAGCCTAGTGCTAAAGCCAAAAGATTTCCTAACTCACTGTGGTGGTAAGACCTTCCAATCAGACAAATGACTGGTAACCAATGTGGTTCCCATTTGACATACAGATGGGAAGTGAGGTATGCATTGTAGCTTCATGAAAACTGGTAGTCATTGTGAATATTCACTTCGTTACAGATAAAGTCATCATTCCTATAATGGTGTGTAGGGTTGTATGCTCACACTACATGGCTCTCTGAATAGCTTCTTTGTTTTTTAAGTTCCATTGTCTGTTATAGTTTGTCCCTTCTTTCATTGTCAGCTGTTGCTTTATACTGCTGTCAGTGAGCATAGTTCTCTTATCCTCCCCACCTTATTAATTTACTGCTCTTAATCTGCAGACAAGAAAACCACGTAGTGAAGCTTGTGCAAAACTCTATCTCAAGAATAGGTACTTTTTGAGGGACTATCAAAAAAAAAGTGCAACCTTCGTACTAGGATATTATAACATCAGTTTTAAAGTTTTAAGCTTAAAGATTTTTTCTTTTTTTTCTTTTTTTTTTTTGCCTATTTACAGATTTGATTTTTTCCAGAGTTAGGAATACACAAATTTCCTGAAGTTAATTCTTGAAAATTTAGAATTTGGAGTATTTTCCCATGTTTTAGGATACTTGATGATGATACGATTCTAACCATATTGAGGTTAATATTTGAAATGTTGAATGTTATTTCTTGATAATGTTTGGCTTTGTATCCCCACCCAAATCTCATCTCAAACTGTAATCCGTAAGTGCTGAAGGAGGGGCCCTGTGGAAAGTGATTGGATCACAGGGGTAGTATCAAATGGTTTAGCACCCTCTCCCTAGTGCTGTTTCATGAGTGAGTTCTGACGAGATGTGGTTGTTTAAAAGTATTTAGCACTACCCCCTCTCACCTGCTACCATGTGAAGAAAGTCCTTGCTTATCCTTCACCTTCCGCAGTGATGGTAAGTTTCCCTGTGGCCTGCCAGTCATGCTTCCTGTTAAGCCTACGGAACTGTGAATCAGTGAAACCTCTTTTCTTCATAAATTACCCAGTCTCAGGTAGCTCTTTATAGCAGTATGAAAACGTACGAATACATCACCACAGTGAATCAAGTTATCAAGATACCGATTAAAGCTATAGACTAGAAAATAACGATTTTATATACATGTGTTATTTAATACCGTAATTAGTTATAAAAGAACCCAAAAACTTGGTACCCGTAAGTCAGTTCTTGCAGGATGCTTTTTAAGTCATTTTTTAAAGCGGTGCATCTTCACATATATTGCATGTATGTTTCAGAAATAAATTATTTTCTAAGAAGTCACAAAAATGATCCAGTATTAGACCACAATATCAGTTGCCACCTATTATAGTGCAAAACACACTGTGGGACCAATAATAAAAGGTACATAACCAAGCTAAAATGGGGCAAACATAGTTCCTGACTATAAAACGTTCAACATTATTGATTAAAAATGTTGTGTTTTAACTCTGATTGTTTTTTCTCTCAGATAAGAATGATTGGCAGAGACACAGAAAAACACGTTTGTATCAGAATAACTTGAAGAAAATTTGTGAAGCTCTGATTATGTATGGATTATGTATTTAATAAAAACAAATTGTGATGCATTCATACAGTGGAGTACTATTATTGAACAAGTCAAAGGAAAGGACTGCTGATACAACACGGATAAATCTCAAAAACATTGCATTTGGTGAAAGAAGCCAGACACAGAGTACATAGCATATGAATCCATTTATAAAAATTTAAAAACAGAAAAAAGTAATCTATGTTTAGTGTCTTCTTATGATGACAGAGGCAGTAGGTTGGGATTTTAATGGAAAGGATCGTGAGGGAACATGATAGGATGGCAAAAATGTTCTGCACTAGTCACATGTAGCTATTAAAATCTAACAAAACTTAAAATTCAGTTCCATAGTCACACTAGCTACATTTTAAGTGTTCAATAGCCATATGTGGCTACTGCCTACTAAGTTAGACAGTGCAAATACAAAACATTTCTATTATCTCAGAAGTTCTACTAGAGTTCTAGTCTAGATCTTGTTTTGGGCCAGTGTTTACATTTTTCAAAATTGGAATTAATGCATATTATATATTTATTATATGCCAGTAACACCTGCCCCCAAGCCCTATAAATAATTAATAGAATTTTTATTACTATATTATGTACCTAATTAGCCTAGTTTTTTCTTAAAATTTTTGTGCAACTCTGCAGAGAAAGGATAAATAGTAAAGTTCTTGGCAAATTTTCAAATATGTAAGTATGACATACAGTAGATAGCCTTGATTTTCTGCTCAAAAATGAATTCTGCTACTTTATAATTCTGAATGCTTCTAGAAAGAAGGAATTTTTTTGAGTGCTTAAAGTGAACTCTAGATGACTACAGAGAAATTTTTTTCTATTGGAATCAAGTATCTTAAACATAGTAGAGATCATATAACCTTCCAAGGTGACACAAGTGTTTGGGAGATATTGGTGCTAACTCTATGACTAGCTTTAGAAAGTTAAATCGACTCCCTAGGTTAACACTTCAAACAAGCCTTTTGGAGGTGGAAAAAAACTAAGTTTGTAAGTCAAGGATAAAAACACCTGAATGATCTCAATTCTAAAATTCTGATTTTAAGAGATAGAATACCAGGTCAATGGATTCAAAATACTGTATATGTTCATATAGTACTTCAGTGAAATTAAGAAAAATTTTTGGTAGAATGAATACTATAATAATGTTAATATTTCTACTAGCATCTTTTAGGACCTTTGTGAACCCCAAGTAGATTTTTACAAGACAATGAACTTGGACTGTTAAAGATTAATTCTTACAAATGAATCAGCAATTCATGTCAATAATATATGCTGAAAAGTATTTTATTCACTTAATTATTGTCAGTTATATATCAAAAATGATTTAATATGATCTTGTTTTCTCTCCTCTCTCTCTCTCTCCCTCTCTCCCCACTCTCTCCCTTTCCCTTCCTCCCTTCCTCTACCTTTTTTTTCTTCTTCTAATGTAATATGTAGTCTGGAGAAAACATCTCCCAAGTTTCTGTTTGGCCATTCATCCTATTGGAAGTATATTAATACTATCTTCTCATTGGAACATGTCATACATCTTACCTGCCCCACACACACACACTATCATCACAATAAGGATATATAAAACCTTCATTTAAATTGTTTTGAATGTGTATATCAGTTGTTACAGTATATGACCAAACTTTTTTGATACTTAATGTTTTTTTTTAAAGCAATATGACAACCACTGGTGAAGAACAATAAAGATTACATGTATTTGTCTCTTGATGCCTTTTTAGTTTGAAAGGGGAATTTATGTGCATGTAATGCTTTTCCAAAAATTTGGTTTAGCTTACTAATGTTTTGAGGGCAGGGAACACAAAAATAGATATTTTACAGTAGGATATTTAAAACACTTGCAAGTACTGTTTGAAATATTATGTGGAACTACTTTCTCTCATGAAAGAGATTAAAGGCAGGTGCCATGGCTTACACCTTTAGTCCCCGCACTTTGGGAGGCCAGGCCTGGGCAAGAGAAAGACCCTGTCTACCAAAAAAATAAAATAACTAGGCATGGTGGCATGTGCCTGTAGTCGCAGCTGCTCAGAAGGCTGAGGCAAGAGGATCCCTTGAGCTCAGGAGTTTGAGGCTACAGAGCCATGATCACACCACTGCATTCCAGCCCTGGTAACAGAGTAACACCTCGTCTCAAAAAATATTTTAAAGATTAGGGCCATTTTAAAGACTGGGTTAGAAGACCTCCAACCACATGTAATATTAAACACTGTAAAATACATCCGCATCACCTAAAATATACATGACTAAGAATTGAGTTTAAAAATCACTTAGGACACTGTTGGTGGGAGTGTAAATTAGTTCAACCATTGTGGAAGACAGTATGGTGATTCCTCAAGGACCTAGAAATAGAAATTCCATTTGACCCAGCAATCCCATTACTGGATATATATTCAAAGGATTATACATTGTTCTACTATAAGGACACATGCACATAAATGTTCATTGCAGCACTGTTTACAATAGCAAAGACCTGGAACCAACCCAAATACCCATCAATGATAGACTGGACAGGGAAAATGTGGCACATATATACCATGGAATACTATGCAGCCATAAAAAATGATGAATTCATGTCGTCTGTAGGGGCATGGATGAACCTGGACACCATCATCCTCAGCGAACTGACACAAGAACAGAGAATCAAACACCGCATGTTCTCACTCAGGTGGGTGTTGAACAATGAGAACACATGGACACAGGGAGGGGAGCATCACACAATGGGGGCTGTTGGGGGAAAATAGGGGAAGGGTAGTGGGGGGTGGGGAGCTGGGGGGAGAGAGCATGGGGAGAAAGGCAGTAAATTACTGCCATGTATTACCTATGCAACAATCTTGCATGTTCTTCACATGTACCCCAAAATCTAAAATGCAATAAAAAATACAAGAACGGCAACAAAAAATGACATAATGGTATGTTTTGTAGACATCCAATTAGTTTTTATTTGCAGCTTTTCATATTTTGAAGTCACCTTTTTTTTTTCCAGATCCCCAACATTTTCAGGAGACCTTAAGAAACATAAATCCTAACCATAGTGCTTGATGGATAAAATGGCTCTGAAGTAATAGTGGGGAAAGTGAATTTTAAACAACGTGTTTCTTAGGCTTTTTTTCCTTCTTCCTGGGGGGGGGATTAGTTAATAGATCCACTGAGATAAAATTATAGTGAACTTTGTGCTAGTTTCAAAAAGATCAGAAAAAACAAAAGGATGATTACACACTTGAACTCAGTACCCTAATTTGGCACTACAGCCTTTACTTCATTAAAAACTGATACACTTCATTATGAAAAAATAAAGACCGTCGGATTTGCTTTATAAGGTTATCTTACTTGTAACTTCAAATGTGTGACAATAATTATAGACTAGTTAAATGTTTTATCATTTATCACCCAGAAGAAATAATCCTTAAAGGAAGAACACTAATTTGTTTGAAGATTAATAATAGACAAGAAATTTTAAGTGAATAATAACAAAAATATAAAACTGTATGACAAAGATTTTTTATAGGGTTAAACATGCCTATTTTGAAAGGTTTTTTAAGATTAAATTCTTCCTGAAATAAGAAAGCTAAAAAGTAAAAATGCATAAAATATCCATATCATTTTCTTTTGAGTCAGCACTGAATGATCCTACAATAAAATGAAGCGCTGACTTCCTGGAAAAGCCAGAAACCATCAGGGTCTAAGGAATAAGCTGCAGAGGTGTTGGAACTGAATGATACATAATAAGTGAATGTACACTGGAGCTTAATCTAAGTGGAGGTTCTTCTCACTGCTGAGAGCAAATTAAAGAAGTAGCTATTATAAGAGTTCTGTAAGACTATTTTTAAGTTAACTTAGTTGTATGATCAAAACATTAATAACATTAGCATCTCTTGAAAGAGCTATACCTCAATTTGACAATCATCTTTGGAAAGTAAATAGAATTCTGAAAGTTTATTGTCAACTTCAAAAGATACAATGCTTACCAGCCAGAAACAGGTACGACAGGCTGGAAGTTGTAATAACTTTTAGAAAGGAAGTTGACAGGAATGTTACTTGAATATCCACAAACAATCTTAATTTCATGTCAACTATAATGAAGCAATGTAAAGGTGAGAAAAAGAAGAAATATCATAAAGTATAATCTACTCAGATGATTACTGTGGTTTTTTTTTTTTTAAGTATTGTGGTTTCATGGATTGATTTTTTTTTTTTTTTTTTTTTTCATTTGTGTAGAATGAGCCAAAAGAAACAGGGAAGCAGTAGTCTTAGAGGTAAGATATGGTTAAGACTTGGGTTAAGGCTATAATTAGGAATAGAGAGAGAGTAAATATTCTAAAAAATGCAAAGGAGGAAATAATGACCGTACTTGAAAATGTCAAGCATGGTCAATTTTCTGATATTAAGGACCTGCTATATCTGCTCTATTAGTTATTATGGACTCGTGGGGATAAGGAACAATAAACAGTGAAAGATACAAAAGAACTTAAAGTCTGAGTTCCTCTTTGTGCAGATTATCTTCTATTTCTGTCTCCATATTCACTCTTTACTTTTCTAGAGTGAAGAAAAAAAAAGCTGACCTGCATGCATTCTGACCACACTGTTGCTTTCTGGCTGCCAGTTGGTTTCCATCAGTAGGCAGCACTGGCAGGAGATTGGAGATGTGGAGAGAGGAGAGTAAAGTCAGGTTATTTATTACCCTGTCTTCTACCTTGCAAAGTTGCTTCAAGATACCATATCTGTTGACCAAAGATTCTGATAAAGGCTTCTTCCCCTCTTTAGGCTTAGTTCCACAGCAGTCTAGGTTACTGCATCATTCTTTCAGTTTCTCTACACCCACATCTTGGGAAGGCCCTTTTTTTTTTTTTTCTTTTTTTTCTTTTTAGACAGTTTCGCTCTCCTTACCCAGGCTGGAGTGCAATGGCGCCATCTCGTCTCAGCGCGATCTCGGCTCGGCGCGATCTCGGCTCACCGCAACCTCTGCCTCCTGGGTTCAGGCAATTCTCCTGCCTCAGCCTCCCGAGTAGCTGGGATTACAGGCATGCACCACCATGCCCTGCTAATTTTTTTGTATTTTTAGTAGAGACGGGGTTTCACCATGTTGACCAGGATGGTGTCGATCTCTTGACCTTGTGATCCACCCGCCTTGGCCTCCCAAAGTGCTGGGATTACAGGCTTGAGCCACCGTGCCCGGCCTGGGAAGGCCCTTTATACTTAAATTCTCATCAAATTGCTCTCTTCCTATTGTAGCATCTATTTCTTTTTGGGATTTTGATAATACCACATAAACTCACAAACTATGTAAAATTTTGCTTGAGTTGCCATAACAAAACACTACAGACTGAGTGGCTTAAACAGCAGAAAATTTTCTCACGCTTTTAGAGACTACAAATCTGAGATCAAGGTGTCACTTCTTGCACCAGGAGATAGTCTCTTCTGAGGCATTTCTCCCTGGCTTGTAGATGTCCATCTTACCCCTGTATCTCCACATGGTCTTTCCCCCATGTGTCTGTGTTCTATCCCATCTTCTTATAAGGACATCAGTCATATCAGATTAGGGCTTACCCTAATGACCTCATTTTAACCAAATTATTTCTTTAAATATACTATCTCCAAATACACAATCTGAGGCACTAGGATTTAGGACTTCAACATATGAATTTGGAGGGGACCCAATTCAGTGCATAACAGACTAGTTGAAGAAGAAGGGCATAAGATAAATTGGAAAATGTTTCAAGATTATGAGCATAGGTATGAATATAAGGAAAGGACATTATTGCACTTACTCAGAGCAGAACATTAGAAAGGGGAAAAGAAGTTTTTTAAGGAGAGTTTTATAAATACACAAATTTCAGTGACAGATTCAAGTGGTGAGGCACATATAAAGGAAATCCCATGAGCTATAACTATCAGATTGGAGACTGATCTAGGAGCCATGTAAGTGGCAGAATAACAATAATTATCAGTATTTATGAAGCATTCTGACAGATTATTCATTATATTTGCTCCCCTTCTATTATGAGAACATAATTATTCATGTTTTAGACTGAGCATGAAGACTTTCTTTCCTGGTTTCCCTTAAAGTTAGATAGAGTCTTATGACTAAGCTCTGGTCAACTAAGAGTTCAGGGGCCACTTCAAAAAATTTTTGAGGCACTTACTTAGATCCTTTATAGTTTCATCCTTTCATTTTCATCCCCTTCTCCATCCCACTATTTAAAAGAAGAATGCCATCACGCCATGCAAATGGAGCAACAGAATAGGAGACTAAGACTCTAATATTAGAGTGTGAGGCTACTATATTGCTCTGCATTATGTTTACATGAAAAAGAAACACCAATCTTGTTTTCTGTCTCACAGTTAAACCTAATCCTAATTAATGCAATCATTTTCTATGTGCCGGGTACTGTTTTCAGTTTGAGTGTATTAGTTTGCTTAATCCTGTAGCAATTCTATATGTAGATTACCATTATTATCCCTTATAAGGAAACAGACACAGAGAAGTTAAACAATTTTCCCTAGACAACACACTTCATTTTTGCTGAAGTTAGGACTTGAACCAGACTAACAGACTCTGACTACAAAGTCTTAACTGCTATGTTGAGCTGCCTGCCTCTTGTCTCAAATCCTACACCCAACCCTTTTGCATCTAAAAAACAGAATTATTTTTTAAAGCTTTCCACAGTTCCACGCAGTGTACCAGGGGAAAGCAACTTACATGAAAAAATGTGGTAAAGATGTTTATATACCTTTCATCTTATTTTCTTTCTTATTTTAGTCTAAATTTTGCCAAAGTAGCTTTGTCTTTTGAAATACTAATAAGGTGTCTCTTTCTAAAATTAATTTTTAAAAAAGACTTTACTCTGGAGAGCCTCTTGTGGAGGCTCTCTATAAATCTAAAAGGCAGTCTCTTCCTAGTTATCTGACTATGATCAGCCCCATAGGACAAGGTGTTTTCTATCTGTGCCACAATGGGTCTTCCCTTGGCCATATTCTGCCAGAGCCCTTCTCAGAACCCCAGCTGGGATAATCTTTGATGCAATCCAAGGACAACTTCTGCACTTAATTGTCAGGTTTTTCTTGAGAAACACTCAGCTCTCAGTCAGGAGTCAGTCCTTATGGTGACAGTCTCTGTTGCACTCCCTTTAGCAGCAGGAGAGCTTTAAGAGTGTTACAGGGCTTTGTTAACCCCTCTCTTAAAGAAACTGGAGAAAAAGGGATTTTAAGGGTGTCTTGATTTTTTTTTTAAATGTTTAGTAAGAGGAAAAATTGGACCAGTGGAGATTGTTCTATTCTCTTCCCATCTGGTCACATAAAAGGTTTCAGAAAGGCCGTGGAATCTACTCAGAGGATATTAATGCATTAAAATTCTCTAAAGAAATGAGGCATTAAATAAGGAATCCATTTATCCACTTGAAGTAAGTTCAGAAGGAAGAACACAGAAGGCAACAGACCTATGATATCTCTCACACAATTTGCTTTCAGACTGTAAGTAATACTGACCATCAAGAACAGCTTTATTAGGATGAGATGATTTTGAAATCTATTCTAATACATAACGTGGTTTTTAATTTCTACTGCTTCTAATCAATTTTTTCAGCTAACAAAGGTATCTGAAAATTACATTTATAATCAGTATCACCATGCCGTCTTGGGGTATAAAAGAGTTCTTAATTCTTTAAGTATAATTCACATATAGTAAATTCACTCCTATTAAGTATACAATTAGATAAATGTTAGCAAAGTATGAAGTCATTTGACCACCACCACAATCAGATATTGGACATTTCTATCAACATCAAAAGCTTCCTTGTACCTTTGTACTCAATTTTCTCTTACCAACTACCTTACCCCTTCCCCATCACCAGAAAAACTTTGATCTGCTGCCACTATAGTATTCCTTTAACTAGAATGTTGTATAAATGGTACACACAATATTTAAATTTGAGGGAAGGCACTCTGGCATCTTTCATTTGGCAGAATGTTTTTGACATTCACCCATACTGTTGTGTATATCAATAATTCATTTATTTTCATTGCTGAATAGTATTCCATTATATGGATATACCACAGTTTGTTTTCAGATATTTGTTATTATGAATAATGCTGCCACCATTATATGTAAGTGTTCTTGCCACAATAATGCTGCCACAATTTATGTATAAGTGTTCTTGTAGATACATGTTTTCATTTCACTTTGGTAGACACCTAGGAGTGAAATTACTGGGTCATATACCAAGAATATGTTTAAGAAATTGCCAAAATGCTTTCCTAGTACCTTTATCATTTTTTATTCCCACCAGAAATATATGAGAGTTCTAGTTGCTACACATCCTTGCCAACTCTCATTGTGGTTTTAATTCATATTTCCCTAATGACTAGTAATGTTAAGCTGCATTTCCTGTGTTATTAACTAGTCCCATTTCCTCATTTGTGAGATATCTGTTTATGTTTTACCCCCTCCTGTTTTTGTTTGTCATCTTCTTCTTGGATTATAAAAGTTCGTATATTTTAGACACAAATTCTTCATCAGACATACATATTTTGCAAATATTTCTCCCAGTGTATGGCTTACCATTTTATTTCCTTGAAGGTATCTTTCAAAGAACAAAGACATTAACTTTGATGAAGTCTAATCTATTAATATCATATTTTTATTGTGCATTTTTTGTTTTATCTAAAAAGTCTTTGCCTAATCCAAAATTTATTTATCTCTTCTGTTTTCTTAAGAAAGTTTTATTATTTTTGCTAAGTTTAGGTCTATGAGATATTTTGAATTAAATGTTTTGTAAGATGTGAGGTAAGGATTAAGGTTCACAACTTTCCATACATATTGTTCGATATCCAATTGTTCCAGCACCATTCATTAAAAAGACTAATGGTCTCCACTGAATCTCTTTCTATCTTTGTCAAAAATAAGTTGTCCATGTGTATGTGGGTCTATTTTAAGATTCTCCATTCTGTTCTATTGATATGTTTGTCTTTCTGTACTCCAATATTACTCTATCTTGTTTACTGCAAATTTATAATAAATTTTGAAATCAGGGAGTATTTTTGTTTTTCTTTTTAAAAATTGCTTTATATATTCTAAGTTTTGTATTTCCATATGAAGTTTAGAATCAATGATTTGGGTTGACATTGTTTTGAATCTACAAAACAATCTGGCAAGTATTGATGTGTTAATAATATTAAGTCTTCTGACCCATGAAAAAGGTACATCTCTTCTTTTATTCTGGTCTTCTTTAATTTCTTTTCAGTAATGTTTTTTAGTTTTTAGTGCACAGATCTTTCACATCTTTTATCAGATTTATCCCTAAGTGACCATAATTTTGATGCTATTGCAACTAATATTGTTTTTATATTGCTTCTTCTCTGACACAAGCTAGAACTTGAATTTGTATAAATTCTAGACCTTATTTAAAAATTTTAACACAATAAAATTTTTGATGAAATAATTATTCATTAAAGCAAAATTTCTCTATATAAATGGGCTTTATGATCTAATTAATAGAACTGTTTTACCATGTCAAGCTGTGTTTGCATGGCTCATATTTGTGTGTGTGTGTGTGTGTGTGTGTGTGTGTGAAGTTAAGCATGATAAACTACTTTTAGAAGGCTGCTGGAAAGTTTTTAAAATGTTATTGAAGTTTTTCAAATGTTCAAAAAAACGTAAACTTACAAAGTTTTTTTTTTTTTAAAGGAGAGGCATCCAGTAGTTCATGGTTACAGTGAACTGCTATCGTGCCGCTGTATTCTACTCTGGGTGACAGAGTGATTCCCTGTGCCACAGAGTGAGACCCTGTCACAAAAAAAGGGGGGGGCTATGAAATCCAAGGTATGATTTAAATATTCTTAACACGTGTTCATTTTAATAACCCTTGTGTTTATGTCTCTCAATATGTATATTCTTATTACTGTGACATATATATCAAATCTTCATTGTTAGTTAAAATATTTTTTAAAAAATCAATGTAGCTTATAAATTTGCAGTGATTTATGCCTATGGTCATGTTGGGTTAGATTTTACTTATGTGAAACTAAAATTATGCAGTGATTAAGTAGACACTTCACAATGGAGTTTGACTATATTATCTTAGACAATAATCATAACTAACATTTATTGAGGGGTTTCTTTGTGCCAGTCATTGTTCTGTGAATTAACTTAGTCTTCACAACACTATAAAACAGGTACTACTACAATTCTCATTTTTGCGTGGTGAGAAAATGAGGACCAGAAGCTTAAATAATTTTGCCAAGGCCATAAGTTGGTAACTAATCATCAGGATACACACTCAGACAAGGGCCTGTATTTGCCAAGCTACCTCTCTCTAGGGTACTTGAATGGTTATGTAAATTGAGTAAACTAATATACTTGTAGGTAAAGTGTATGATAGCTATACCTTTTAGAATGGTTCAATCAGTTAATCCAATGAGAATCAGGCCCTCTAAGATTTAAGCATGCATCCAAAATCATCAGACAGTGATTTCTAGACAGAAGAATTACTCATTTGTAATAGAAGATATATATATTTGTCTCAAAACAGGAATCCTCATCTTCATAAAGCACATTCCTTCCACATGTTAAATCAAAAATCTGTCTTGCCACATCATGAAACCCTATCTCTACCAAAAATACAAAAATTAGCTGGGCATTTTTGTATTTCACTCATTTCCTGTTGCTTCTGATAATCATTATCATGTGACAATTTTCAAGCTCCTTATAATGGGCATGTTGCTGCATGCCTGTAATCCCAGTTACTTGGGAGGCTGAGGCAGGGGAATTGCTTGAACGTGGGGAGGCAGAGGTTGTAGTGAGCTGAGATTGTACCACTGCACTCCAGCCTGGGCAACAGAGCAAGACTTCATCTCAAAAAAAAAAAAAAATCTGAATGTTCAAGAATCCCAGACTTCCCTGCTAAGGGGCATCTCCATTTTAGATGTCCCATAATCAACTTCAATTTAAAGTATCCAAAATTTGGCCTTATTACTTTTATCCTCCAATTTAATGTTTGCTTACTGTATTCCTTTTCTTGATGATTGGAATCACTACCCCTCTGGTGGCCTGAGCTGGAAATCTGGTAGTAATCCTGGACACCACTCTATAACTTAACTTCCATAGCCAATCAGTCTCCAAGTTCAGGACATTCTATTTTCTTAAACTCACTCGTTCTCACTGATTTGCCTTCTTCCCTGTTTCTACTGTTTTTGAACAGGTCTCTTTTCACTGGGATTACCTGAAGAGACATTTCCAGTGATTTTTTTTCTATCTCTAATCTGGAAACTGCTACTAGAATGATCTTAAAATAGAAATATGATCATGTCTTTCCTCTAGACAATTTTTAGTAGTTTATCATAGCTTTTAGGAAAATGTTCAGATTCCTAAGCTGAACATAGAAAGCTCATTATAATTTGGTACCAGCTTACTTTTCCAGAAAATGGTCCAGTCACCCTTCTTGTCTGGTGGTGCAAGATCAATGGCAGGACAAGCTAGGGAGCATCCAGGAGGATGGCTGAGGTTCTATGGTAAGGCATATCTCAACTATAGGCAAACACCAGGATGTGTGTCCCCTGGAAGCGCAGTCAGGTCTGCAGTAAACAATGCAAATCTGAGAGTTAGAATAAGAGCAGAAACCTAGTAGGAAGCCAAATTGAACCCACTGGTGAACCAATGAATGAGGAGTACTGGGAGAAAGTGATGTCTGAAGGAATTTCTACAAACGTGTAAAAAATGTTTTTATACATGTTTGTAGAAAACATTCTTTGTTATTTACATGCAAACTATGAGGGCATATTTGGTTTTAGGAAAATAAGCTAAATTTGAATAGGTACAAACCGCTTGTTGTGACTCAGAGATGTTATACTGTTTCATGTCTCTGTGCCTTTCACATGTCATCGCCTCTCCCTTAAAAGCCCTCTGCTGCCTCCCTATTCTCTTACTCTTACTTATTCCATAGCCCAGTTCAAGAACCATCTCTTCTGAAAATAGCAATCACCAACATAAATTGAGCATTTACAGTCTCCAGGCACTATGCCAAATGCTTTAATACATAATCTCATTTAAACCTCATTTAAAAAGCTGCCTCTCTTTTCCTTGTTTTACAGATTAATAAATTCATGTTTAAAGAGATGAACTGACTTGCATGAGGTCACACAACAATTATGTTATGGAGTGGAGAATTAAGCCCAGAGGGTCTGACTCCAGAGTTTGAGCTTGTTACCACTATTGGCCTTTACCAATTCCCTAGGCTGATTTGAGATGCCTTTCCATGTGCATCTGTGCTTATATCATCATAGCCACATCCATCTCTGATATAATCTTTTCTTAATCTGTCTCTCCCAGTGGCTAAAAAGCTCCTAAAAATCAAGAGACAAGTATCTACTACAAAAGTAAAATTTTAATAAACGTTTAATTAATAAAGCATTATTTTCTGGCCAGGCACGGTGGCTCACACCTGTAATCCCAACACCTCAGGAGGCCAAGGCGGGTGGATCACAAGGTCAGGAGTTCAAGAAAGCATGCCCAACATAGTGAAACCCTGTCTCTACGAAAAATACAAAAATTAGCCTGGTGTGGCGATGCATGCCTGTAGTCCCAGCTACTCAGGAGGTGGAGGCAGGAGAATCAATTGAACTTGGGAGGCAGACATTACAATGAACAAGGATCGTGCCACTGCACTACAACTTGGGCAACAGAGACTCTGTCTCAAAAAATATAAATGAAATACATAAGATAAAATAAATTATTATATTCCAACAAGTTGCTGAAGGAGCAGTAAGTGAGGACACTTGAGTGTTGCACCCAGGAAATTCATGTCAATCAAATGTGGCCTGTTGTGTTATTCTTTTGTTCTTTTAGGATATTTATTTAGTAAAAGCTGGGGTCAGTCAACTAGAATCAGGCTATTCTCTTGTCTACACAGTATTAGATATAGATAAAATATTACTTTTGTCTTTCTCAATACTTTATATAGTTAACTACCTGTTGCTTCTGATGATCATTATCATGTGACAATTTTCAAGATAGTTACTCATGCATGGCATATTTTAAAAAAATGTTTTTTCTAATTCATTCTTATTTTATATCCAGATTTGACTTTCATGAGGTATTGTGTCTTATCCCCTTTCTAATTTGTGTTTGGAGGTTTTAGAGTATTCCTAGAGAATGATTGTTTTCTGTGACTTTAATGCTACATGACTACATTAGAATTTGAGTAACCATGGCTTGATGAAAGTTGTATTCAACCAATTATTTCAAATTAGTAAATTTTAAGGTGTTATTTCAGCCCACCAATAAGTACCCCTCAAGCTTCAGAAAGAAGGAAAAATGGAGAGAAAAAAATATTAAAATAACTACTGGCAAGGGTGTGTGTTCTCTTGTTACAAATAGGTCCAAGAAAATTAGTCATTAGTCTTACTAAGACAAGGGCCTCCGGACCCTGAAAAATGAAAAAAGAAGCAGATCTACATGTAAGGAGAGAAGCTTGTAAGCTCTTTCAAGACCTGCCTGTTCTCCCACCCACAACTCTAGAGACGGCAAAGCAATTTTAACTTGCCTACATAATGGTCGGAAGGGGCATGAGGAAATTTTATGTCACTCATTTCCAGATGTAATCCTGTGCACTATCAGTCAAACTATTTTTTCTTTCAAATAGAACATGATAGAGTGACAAAGTTTGAATACTCACTCAAATAAACTTCACAATGCAAAAACAATGAAATAGCTCAACCATTTTCTGGACTAAATACAGCATTTATGTTAGAAGAAAGGACTGAAAGATATTAAATGTTCTGTCAGGACCACTGATTTCAAGTGGGCGGCTTGCTAGGTTTTCAGGTGCGATGAGAATGCAGCGTGGAGTAGCCCAGTGTAGGGTGGTGTAGATCCCACCTCTAATCAAGTGCTTCACTTACCTTCAAGAGCAAGAGCAGCCTTGTAGCTCCTGCCTTTGTCTTCAGTGCTTTTCATCGCTGCAACTGCTACATGACCCATAACTGCCCCCAGTCTCCAACACACAGGGGCAAGTCTCCAGGTCTTTTCTCCATCTGACATAACATAGGTAAACATCATAGAATATGTGTGTAAGATGGCTTAGTACAAGGTAGAAAGAGTCAGGGGAGAGCAAGAAATACTCATCTGTTGCATTAGACTTCTGAGATGTTAGGGTTTACCTGATACAGCAACTAGCTTTACCCTCATGGGGCTCCCACAGAGTTGGAATATACCTGCCAACCTAGAGAGAAAGATAAATTTTTGGAGCCAGATCACCTAGTTTTCTTTTTGTTCTCCTTCAATCTTTAAAAAAAAAGTTTTTTTGGTGTTTTTTTTCTTTTTAAAATCAGTCTTAGTTATATTAAACCAAGGATTACAGGTGACCCTTACAGCAGACTGTTAAGGAATGAGCAGCTCATGTCTGAGGCTAGATTTTTGATGGTGGCAGCATTAGTTAGTGTTAGACATCAATGAAAGAGAAATCTATAGGACAGACTCAGAACTATGCTGTCCCAAAGGAAATTTTACTTTGAGTTTCAACTCTACAGACTCAAACCCTTTTTATTTTGGGGTTATTTGTTTCATTTAGCTTTTATTTGTATTGAGAAAGATGACCTGTGTTTACTGAGATCTTACCAGTACAAGAGTTCAAGACTAGTCTGGGCAACATGGCAAAACCTTGTCTCTATAAAACATACAAAAATAAGCCAGGTGTGGTAGCATGTGTCTGTAGTCCCAACTACTTAGGAGGCTAAGGTGGGAGGATCACTTGATCTTGGGAGGTTGAGGTTGCAGTGAGCCAAGATCATGCCACTGCACCCCAACTTAGGCAACAGAGTGAGACTTTGTCTCAAAAAAAAAATTTTTTTTTAAAGATTTTAAATGGCTATTACTGAAGAAATTTTATAGTGGCAAAAAATATGTTTTCTTTTTTTTTTTTCAGAGATGGAGTTTTGCTCTTGTTACTCAGGCTGGAGTGCAATGGCACGATCTCGGCTCACCACAACCTCCGCCTCCTGGGTTCAGTCAATTCTCCTGCCTCAGCCTCCTGAGTAGCTGGGATTACAGGCACGTGCCACCATGCCCAGCTAATTTTTTGTATTTTTAGTAGAGACAGGGTTTCACCATGTTAGCCAGAATGGTCTCGATCTCTTGACCTCGTGATCCACCTGCCTCGGCCTCCCAAAGTGCTGGGATTACAGGCTCGAGCCACTGTGCCCAGCCAAAAAAGATATGTTTTCTTAAGTAGATGATATCTTTATTGAAATAATATTTACAGTTTTAGGTATTTAGTTCAAAGGTAAAATCCAGTCTACCCTTGGGCCAAATTGTCATGAACTTCAAGCTGGTAGCATATAAATTACTCTTACTACTATCAACATGACCAGTTGCTATCCAAATTTATTAATATGAAATCAACAAAGTAGATAAATTTGAGAAATTAGCAAACACTTTTACAGTAAATAATATTAAAGTTAGTTGGTAAAAAAAAAAGTTAAATGTGCAAACAAAAGTTAACTTTTATATTCAAAGTCATTAAGAAAGCCAGAAGAGGAAATGCTTCTATAATTTTTTTTTTGAGTCTCTGTCGCCCAGGCTGAAGTGCAGTAGCAATCTCCTCCTCCCAGGTTGAAGTAATTCTCCTGCCTCAGCCTCTAAGATTGCAGGCGCAGGCCACCATGCCCAGCCAATTTTTGTGTTTTTGTTTGGTAGAAACAGGGTTTCACCATGTTGGCCAGGCTGGTCTGGAATTCCTGACCTAAAGTGATCTACCTACCTCAGCCTCCCAAAATGCTGGGATTATAGGTGAAAGCCACCGTGCCCAGCCATTTTTGTTGTTGTTATTTTTATAATTTCCTACAGAAAAAAAGCAAAATCAAAAACTATAAAGAAAAAATGTCTTCAAATTAAGGAGTTTCACATGTTAGGGTGGTCCCAAAATACAGTAACATCAAAACTACATGGTTACGGGAGAAAACATGTATGAGCAGAATCACAGAAAAATTACCTCCTGAAATATTAGAACAGGAGGTTCCTTAAAAAGCTCAAGTTTCTTAAGAATTAGAACAAGTTCTTCACTTTCCAAATAATTTTTGGTACTGAAAGCTCCCAATAACACTAAACACTGTCTAAAAATATTTCGGGAAAGTCATGTAAACTCTTTTTCATGTCATCTGAAAGTTCTTTTGTAACACTGCTGACACAATTCAAATGAGTGAAAAAAATGTATATTCCCTGAGGCATTTGGGTGATTGGAAAGAAAGTATTTTCTAATGAATTATACACTGAACTTGAATAGAATTAGCTGATCATTTTAAAGCTTAAACCATATCCATCTGGCTTTTAAAGACACTACTAGTAGCAGAACCAACTTAGAAAACAAGAGACATTCAAATCTACACAGATTTCTAGTTAAACAATAATTGTTCCTTTGTCTTTTATAAATCACCAAAAAAAATAATGCTGTTAATTAATGGTGACTCATGCTCCAGTGATCTATTCATATTCTCTGGCATGTTGCTCTGGAGGTGGTAAGCAGCAAAGTGTTGATAACTATATTGACTCAGCTTGGAAGGGGATTAAGAATCTCAGTATGACAACAAATATGTATTCTCTTGTTATAGAAACATTTCACTCTTCCGTTCAAAATTTACAGTGGCTTTCTTAGTCCTTGTATAATAGCCAAGCTCCTCTGCCTAATCTGTCGGGGCTATTGTCAATTCATACCTAATTCATCTCAATTTATTTTCTCAGACTCAACTCTTTTTTTTTTTCTTTGCACATATCTCCTTTGTACCACTGAAGTTCTTCCAATCTCTTCCATATGTGTCCACTCTGTTGTTTAAACGTGACTCAAAAAATCAACTGTAATTTTTGCATGAGAGGAGGATGATAGTCAGAAGCAGTAAAAGGACCTATAAGTTTCAGTTAATAACCTTTTATGGTGTTTGTGGAAGGCAATGCTAATTGCCTACTCCAAATCTATTTTCCTTTCATCCCTAATAGCAGGATTCCAATTTTGTTAGGGTAGCAGTGTGTGCTTTTCTAAAAATACTTCTCCAGGCTCCCTTGCTGTTTGAGGGTGGCCATGTGTCACGATCCTGGACAATGAGGCATAACTTAAGGGTTTATTGAAAAGCTATTGTTTTCCTCGTAAGAGCTCCTTCCTGCTTCCTTCTCCCTTCCACTTCCCAGCTGGAATGCTGATGCAGTACTACCTGGAGACAGAGTGGCCTCTTGCCATCTTGATATGAAAATCCTGAGGACAAAGACCTACACACTAAGGATGATAGAGTGATAAAATGGAATGGAAAATAGGTCCCTAATGTTATCATTGAGCTGTCATAGATGGCCCTATTCTACCTACTTCCCCACCCCACCTCTACCCCTGCCTGGTCTTATTGTGTGAAGCAAATAAATATCTCTCTCTTTACGTTATTCACAGGGTTTTTCTGCTCATGTGGACAAGCACATTCTAAACTAATGCAACTTTTATAACTTTTTTGACCATAAGAATGCATCACTTTTATAGTAATGAAATAATTAAGTGTTTTAAGTGAAAAGAACATGCACAAGAACCCAAGCTTTGGAATCAGACAAGACTAAATTAGAATCCAGACTTTTCCTGCATACTAATTGACTCTTGGCAACTTAATATCTGCGAGTCTCAACTTCCTCATCTGTAAAAGAGGAATAAACAAATAAATAATAATATGTAACATAGAATACATAGGGTTGTTATAAGGCACATAATGAGCCCTCAATAAAGTATAGCTATTATTATTACTACCAATTATTCCAACACACACACAGACACACATATACTCTTCTCTGTATTCCTAATACACTACTACATATGGAGCATTATATAAGAAGAGAATGTTACATACATCAAGTATCTCTGGAGGTCAGAATAGTTGGTTTCTGATCCTTCATTTTCAGTTTCTGTGACATTGAGAAAGGTATTATATCTCTTGGCTTCAAAGTCCTCATCTGAAACGTGTGGGACAAAATTTGCAACAAATCATTTTCAGTTTTAAAATTCTGTGAGTATTAAAAAAGGAAGTGATTATCAAACCTTTAAAATAGTTCTCCAAAGAGGATAGGAAAAGAGTTATGATCAAAGAACCACATATGGGGTAGGGATGAGGATGGTGGAAATGTTCTATTTATTTACTTGGTTGGTGGTTACAGTTATTTGCTTTATGATTATTCAATAAACTGTACTGTATTAGGGTTCTCCAGAGGGATAGAACTAGTAGGATGTATGTGTATATGAAAGGCAGTTTATTAGGGAGAATTGGCTCACAGGATCACAAGGTGAAGTCCCACGATAGGCCATCTGCAGGCTGAGGAAGAAAGAAGCCAGTAGTGGCTCAGTCCAAAGCAGGGAAGGCAACAGTGCAGTCTTCCGTCTGTGGCCAAAGGTCTGAGAGCCCCCAGCAAAGAACTGTTGTAACTCCAAGAGTCTCTAAAGGCCAAAGAACCTGGAGTCTAATGTCCAAGGGCAGAAGGAATGGAAGGAAGCATGCAGCATGGGAAAAAGATGGAAAGCCAGAATACTCAGCAAGCCGGCTTATTCCCACTTTCTTCCTCCTGCTTTGTGCTATCCATGCTGACAGCCGATTGAGTGGTGCCCATCCACATTGAGGACGGACCTTCCTCTCCCAGTCCACTGACTCAAATGGCAGTCTCCTCTGGAAACACCCCCACAGACACAGCTATCTAGGCATCCTTCAATCCAATCAAGATGACACCTAATATTAACCATCACATGTACCCATATATTTTGTGTACTTCTTATATGTATCTTACATTTCACAATTTCAGAAAATCCTCCAAAGTTTATAATTATGTTTATAGGCATAATAACTTGCTCTACGTTATGTTATGAAGATTTTTCTACTTCTATAATGAGGAATAAGATTTGTATAATAATACAATTCACTATATATCCTCCTTATTGACAGGATAGCTCTTTTCACTGTTGTCTTACACCTTTATCTCTTAGTAGAAGAGGTTGGAACTGGGGCAAATATCTCCCGAGGAAGGAGGAGGATGTGACGTAAGGTAAGATCCTAAAAGCCAGTTAGGGGAAGTAAAAGATAGCCCATCAGGCTTTTGGAGAGAGGTTTGGGAAGGTAAGAGATCAATCTTGACTCACTTTTAAGCCTGAAGCCCTGGAAAGATAGTGTGGGGAGAAAAATACACTAATGGATCCCAATGAAAATATGTTCCATGCTTTTTAAAAAGAATTAGTAGACAGTTTTTTGAGTAGTTTGCTACAGAAATATTGAATGGAAGGTACAGAGAGTTCTCACATTCTCCCTCATTTCTCCCACCAGTTTTCCCTATTATTATTATTATTATTTTGAGTAAAAGATGGTTCTTTATTTCAGCCACTGGATTTATGCTGCCTGCTATGACAGATACATGTTACCCAGCATTCTGTCCCTTAGTAGCATCTCCTAGTTCAAAGCCAGTATCAAACCCAGAGGTGGAGAGTTTGGTGGGAATATCTTTTTTTTTTAAGTTCTGTATACATGTGCAGAACATGCAGGTTTGTTAGATACATTTACATGTACCATGGTGGTTTGCTGCACCCATCAATCTGTAATCTACATTAGGTATTTCTCCTAATGCTATCCCTCCCCTAACCCCTCATCCCCCAACAGAACCTAGTGTGTGATGTTCCCCTCCCTGTATTCATGTGTTCCCATTTTTCAGCTCCCACTTAGGAGTGAGAAAATGGCGGTGTTTGGTTTTCTGTTCCTGTGCTAGCTTGCTGAGAGAGATGGTTTTCAGCTTCACCTATGTCCCTGCAAAGGAGAGGAACTCATCCCTTTTTATGACTGCCACATGTATATGTGCCACATTTCCTTTATCCAGTCTATCACTGATGGGCATTTGGGTTGGTTCCAAATCTTTGCTATTGTGAAGAGTGCTGCAGTAAACATATGTGTGCGTGTGTCTGTATAGTGGAATGATTTATAATCCTTTGAGTATATATCCAGTAATGGGATTGCTAGGTCAAATGGTATTTCTTGTTCTAGATCTTTGAGGAATCACCACACTGTCTTCCATAGTGGTTGAACTAATTTACGCTCCTACCAACAGTGTAAAAGCATTCCTATTTCTCCACCTCTCCAACATCTGTTGTTCCCTGACGTTTTAATGATCATCATTCTAACTGGTGTGACATGGTATCCCATGGTGGTTTTGATTTGCATTTCTCTAATGACCAGTGATGATGAGCTTTTTTTCATGTTTCTTAACCACATAAATGTCTTAATTTGAGAAGTGTCTGCTCATATGCTCCACCCAATTTTTGATGGAGTTCTTTCTTTCTTGTAAATTTGTTAAGTTCCTTGTAGATTCTGGATATTAGCATTTTTGTTGGATGGATAGATTCCAAAAATTTTCTCCCATTCTGTAGATGGCCTGTTCACTCTGATGATAGTTTCTTTTGCTGCGTAGAAGGTCTTTAGTTTAGAGACTATTATGATTTCCATTCTTTTGCATTTGCTGAGTAGTGTTTTACTGCCAATTATGTGGTCAATTTTAGAATAAGTGTGGTGTGGTGCTGAGAAGAAGGTCTATTCTGTGGATTTGGGGTGGAGAGTTCTGCAGATGTCTATTAGGTCTGCTTGGTCTACATCTGGGTTCAAGTCCTGAATATCCTTGTAAATTTTCTGTCTCATCAATCTGTCTAATATTGATAGTGGGGTGTTAAAGTCTCCCACTGTTTAGTAAAGTCTAATACTCTCTGTAGGTCTCTAAGAACTTGCTTTATGAATATGGGGGCTCCTGTATCAGGTGCATATGTATTTAGGAGAGTTAACTCTTCTTGTTGCGTTGATCCCTTTACCATTATGTAAAGCCCTTCTTTGTCTTTTTTGATCTTTGTTGGTTTAAAGTCTGTTTTTATCAGAGATGGGATTGCAACCCTTTTTTTGTGTGTTTTTTTTTTTTTTTTTTTTTTTTTGCTTTTTATTTGCTTGGTAAATATTCCTCCATCCCCTTATTTTGAGCCTGTGTTTGTCTTTGCATGTGAGATTTGTCTCCTGAATATAGCACGCCAATGGGTGTTGACTCTTTATCCAATTTGCCAGTCTGTGTCTTTTAATTGGGGCATTTGTCCTATTTACTCTTAAGGTTAATATTGTTATGTGTGATACAGTTTGGTATGTTTTTGCAGTGGCTGGTCCTGGTTTTTCTTTCCATGCTTCCTTCAGGAGCTTGTAAGGCAGGCCTGGTGGTAACAGTCTCTCAGCATTTGCTTGTCTGTGAAGGATTTTATTTCTCCTTTGCTTATGATGCTTAGTTTGGCTTGATATAAAATTCTGGGTTGAAATTTTTTTCTTTAAGAATGTTGAATATTGGTTTCTACTCTCTTGTAGCTTATAGGGTTCTACAGAGAGATCTGCTGTTAGTCTGATGGGCTTCCCTTTGTGGGTAACTTGACCTTTTTCTCTGCCTGCCCTTAACATTTTTTCCTTCTCTTAACATTAGTGAATCTGACAATTATGTGTCTGGGGATTGCTCTTCTGAAGGAGTATCTTTGTGGTGGTCTTGTGGTAGTTCCTGAATTTGAATGTTGGCCTGCTTGTTAGATTGGGGCAGTTCTCCTAGATAATATCCTGAAAAGTTTTTTCCAGCTTGGTCCCATTCTCCCCATCACTTTCAGGTACACCATTCATTCATAGATTTCGTCTTTTCACACAGTACCGTGTTTCTTGCAGGCTTTGTTTGTTCCTTTTCATTCTTTTTTCTCTAATCTTGTCTTCACGCTTTATTTCATTACGTTGATCTTCAATCTCTGAAATCCTTTCTTCTGCTTGATTGATTTGTCTATTGATATTTGTGTATACTTTATGAAGTTCTCATGCTGTGTTTTTCAGCTCCATCTGGTCATTTATGTTCTTGACTAAACTGGTTATTTTAGTTAGCATTTTCTCTAACCCTTATCAAGGTTCTTAACTTCCTTGCATTGGGTTAGAACATGCTCCTTTAGCTCAGAAGAGTTATTACCCACCTTCTGAATTTTAATTCCGTCAATTAATCAAACTCACTAACAGTCTAGTTTTGTTCCCTCGCTGGTGAAGATTTGTGATCTTTTGGAGGAGAAGAGGCATTCTGGTTTTTGGAATTTTCAGCCTTTTTGCACTGGTTTTTCCTCATCTTTGTGGATTTATCTACCTTTGGTCTTTGATGTTGGTGACCTTCAAATGTGGTTTATGTGTGGACATCCTTTTTGTTGATATTGATCCTGTTCCTTTCTCTTTGTAGGTTTTCTTTCTAATAGGCCCCTCTGCTGCAGGTCTGCTGGAGTTTGCTGGAGGTCCACTCCAGGACCTATTTGCCTGGCTATCACCAGTGGAGGCTGCAGAATAGTAAAGATTGCTGCTCGTTCCTTCCTCTGGAAGCTTTGTTCCAGAGGGGCACTGGACAGATGCCAGCCTGAGCTCCCCTGTATGAAGTGTCTGTTGGCTCCTGATGGGAGGTGCCTCCCAGTCAGGAGGCATGGGGGTCAGGGACCCACTTGAGGAGGCAGTCTGTCCCTTAGCAGAGCTCAGATGCTATGCTAAGAGAGCAACTGTTCTCTTCAGAGCCAGCAGGCAGGAATGTTTAAGTCTGCTGAAGCTATGCCTACAACTGACCCTTCCCCCAGGTGCTCTGACCTGGGGACATGGGAGTTTGATCTATAAGCCCCTGATGGAGGCTGCTGCCTTTCTTTCAGAGATGCCCTGCCCAGAGAGGAGGAATCTAGAGAGGCAGTCTGGCTACAGCAGCTTTGCCATGCTGCTGTGGACTCTGCCCAGTTTAAACTTCCTGGCAGCTTTGTTTACATTGTGAGGGGAAACCTGCCTACTCAAGGCTCAGCAATGGTGGACACCCTCCCCCACCAAGCTGGAGCATCCCAGGCCTACTTCAGACTGCTATGCTGGCAATGAGAATTTTTAGCCAGTTAATCTTAGCTTGAAGGACCCCTTGGGGGTGGGATCCACTCAGCTAGACCACTTGGCCCCCTGGTTTAAGCTCCCTTTCCAGGGAACTGAATGATTCTGTCTCACTGGCATTCCAGGCACCACTGGGGTGTGAAAAAAACTTCTGCATCTAGCTTGGTGTCTGCCCAAATGGCCACTCAGTTTTATGCTTGAAACTCAGGGCCCCGGTGGTATAGCATCCGAGGGAATCTCTTCATCTGTGGGTTGCGAAGACCATAGGAAAAGCATAGTGTCTGGGCCAGAATGCACCATTCCACTTGGCACAATCCATCATGGCTTCCCTTAGCTAGCGGAGGGAGTTCCCCAACCCCTTGTGCTTCCCAGGTGAGGCAACACCCAACCCTGCTTCTGGTCACCCTCCATAGGCTGTAGCCACTGTCTAACCAGTATCAATGAGACGAGCCTCAGTTGGAAATGTAGAATCACCTGTCTTCTGCATTGATCTTGCCGGGTCCTTGGGACTGGAGTTGTTCTTATTCAGCCATCTTGCCCAGGAATCCAGTTTTCCCTCTTACAAGAACATCATGCATTAGTGTGGCACATTTGTTACAATTTATGAGCCAATATCTATACAGTGTTATTAAGTAAAGCCATAGTTTAAGATTTATTCTTTGTTTTGTATATTCTATGGATTTTGACAAGTGTTTCATAACATGTATTTATAATTACATTATCATACAAAATACAGTCAAGTGTCAGTACATTCTGAGAAATGCACTTTTGGAGATTTCTAAGTTGTGTTAACATCATAGAGAGTACTTTACACAAACCTAGTTGACATCAGCTACTACACATCTGGGTTACATGGTATAGCCTATTGCTCCTAGGCTCTAAACCTGTACAGCAGGTTACTGTACTGAATACCATAGTCAGTTACAACACACGAATATGTATTTGTTTCTAAATGTATCTAAACATACAAAAGGTATAGTAAAAATATGGTATAAAAGGTAAAAATGGTGCACCTGAATAAGGCACATGCCATGAATAGAATGTGCAGAACTGGAAGTTGCTCTGGGTGAGTCAGTGAGAGAGTATAAGTAAATGTCGAAGTTTAGGGTATTACTGTACACTACTGTAGTCTTTATCAACCCTGTACACTTAGGCTACATTAAATTTATTTACTTTTTTCTTTAATAATGAATTAATCTTAGCTTACTGTAACTCTTTTACTTTATATACCTTTTGGTAGGGTGCAATAACTCACACCTATAATCTTAACATTTTGGGAGGCTGGACCAAGAGGATTGCTTGAACCCAGCAGTTCGAGATCAGCCTGGGCAACATGGTGAGACCTGGTCTTACCTGGTCTTTACAAAAAATAGAAAATTTAGCCAGTTGTGGCAGGCACCTGTAGTCCCATCTACTCGGGAACTTGAGCCTGGGAAGATCAAAACTGCAGTGAGCCATGATCATGCCACTGCACTCCAGCCTGGGCAACAGAGTGAGACCTTGTCTCAAAAACAACACAAAACAAAACCCTTTTAATTTTTTAAAAAACTTTTTGGCTCTTTTGTAGTAATACTTAGCTTAAAACACACACCCATTGTATAGTCATACAAAAATATTCTTTCTTTATATTCTTATTCTATAAGCTTTTTTCCACTTTGGTAATTTTTAATTTTTTTAACTTTTTCAACATTTTGGTAAAAAACACTAAGACACAAAAACAAACATTACTCTAGGCCTACACAGGGTCAGGATCGCCAATATCATTGTCTTCTACCTCCATAGCTTGTCCCACTGAAAGATCTTTGGAGGAAATACAACACATGAAGCTGTCATCTCCCATGATAACAATGCCTTTTTCTGGGATACCTCCTGAAGAACCTGCCTGAGGCCATTTTACAGCTAACTTTAAAAAATACGTAAAGAGTAGTACATCTAAAAAAGCAATAAAACAATAGTATCATAAATACATAAATCAGTAATATAATCATTTCTTATTATTGAGCATTTTGTACTGTACATAATTGTAAGTGCTATACTGTTCTACAGCTGGCAGTGTAGTAGGTGTGTTTTGGCCAGCATCACTGCAAACACATCACTACAAATGTATGAGTCATGTGTTATGCCACGACATTGGGATGGCTGTGATGTCACTAGGCAATATAAAATTTTCAGCTCCATTATAATATTATGGGACCACTTTGATGCTGTATATGGTCTGTTATTGATGGAAACATTATGTGGTGTATGATTGTTCCACTGCTCTAAAAAAAAAACAAAAAAAAACTGTGCATTTGTTTTCCCAAAACCTGCCAACCACTCATCTTTTCATTCTCTCCAAAGTTTTTTCCTTTTCCAGAATGTCGTATAGTTGTACTTATAGCATGTAATCTTTCCAGGTTGTCTTTGTTCACTTAGCAACATGCACTTAGCTTTCTCCATGTTTTTTCATGGCTCAATAGCTCATTTCTTTTTATTGATGAATAATACTTCATTGTATGGATGTACCACAGTTTGTTTATTTATTTACCTATTGAGAGACATCTTGGTTGCTTCCAGATGTTGGTAATTGCTATAATTTTTGTGTTCAGATTTTATGTTGACAGAAATTTTCAACTGGTTAGGGTAAATATGCCTTTTTCAAGAGACACAGCATGTAACATGAAGTGCTTCCCCTAAGCCCCCCTGGCAGATAGAAATTGTACAGTAGCATTGTAAGTTTTGCACTGGAGCTAATGTTGGATTTGCAGGGATTTCTAAATGTACAGTAGTACTTAAGAACCCACATAAAGGCCAGGTGCAGTGGCTCATGCCTCTAATCCTAGCACTTTGGGAGGCTGAGGTGTGTGAATCACAAGGTCACGAGTTCAAGACCAGCATGGCCAAGATAGCGAAACCCCATCTCTACTAAAAATATAAAAATTAGCCAGGCGCGGTGGCAGGCACCTGTAATCCCAGATACTCCAGAGGCTGAGGTAGGAGAATCACTTGAACCTGGAAGGCAGAGGTTGCAGTAAGCTGAGATCACACCACTGCACACTCCAGCTTGGGTGACAGAGTGAGACTCTGTCTCAAAAAGAAAAACAAAAAATGCATAAGAGTGAGCTTAAGGACCAGCTCACTGGTACCTATAGCTCTCATCCCTTTTTATCACAAAGTTTCCAGCAGGACAAAGGGGATGAAGTTTCCATGCAGAAACTCTAGAGATAGTCACCCATTAGTGATAAGGGAATGCAAAGGTAGCACTTCTGAAGGTCTCTGACACCAGGAGGCTGTGGTAGTATGAGCTCAGGAGTTATCCGATGACCATGAAATGTGCTCATGATCCAGCCAGTTGCTGAATACTGTCATTGATAGGAACCAGACTGGGAGAAGACAAAAGGAGTCAGAGCCAATGAAAAGGAGATCCAGACTTCAAGAGGAACTGCCAGGCCAGGCCTGGTGGCTCACGCCTGTAATCCCAACACTTTGGGAAGCTGAGTCGGGTGGATCACTTTAGGTCAGGAGTTTGAGACCAGCCTGGCCAACATGGCAAAACCCCATCTCTACTAAAAATACAAAAATTAGCCAGGTTTGGTGGCGCACACCTGTAGTTCCAGCTACTTGGGAGGCTGAGGCAGGAGACTTACTTGAATCTGGAAGGTGGAGGTTGCAGTGAGTGGATATCACGCCACTGCACTCCAGCGTGGGCAACACGACAAGACTCCATCTCAAAAAAAACCAAAAAACAAAAAAAGAAATGCCAGTCTGGGATCTTGTCAAATCAGACAAACTTCCTCACAGAAATCAACCAGACATCTTGAAAGACAAGGCAGGCAAAATATCAACGTGGGCTCCTGAAGCCTTGTCTCACCCTCACAAGGACACAATTGCTTCCCTATTCAACGTAGACTTCATCTCTGGAAATAGGAAGAGAGGAGAGAAACAGACCTGATGACAGGAATTTGAAATTTCGCTTAAATGGATACACACCTGAAATGGCCTAAGATACCTTTAATTGGCATGCTTAGGTATCTCCCTTCCAGCTCTTCCTATCTGCTTATAGTTGGAAATGGAGAACCATATCCAAAAGGAAGTTTAGAATATGGGAGAAGGAAGAAGGGTGAGGGAAGAGAGGAGATGGATGAGAGAGATTTTTTTTTTTTTGCCAATTTAAGAGAGTTTGTTACATTTTTGCTCCATAACATGGGTTATATTATAGAACGTATTTTATATAAAATGCAGTATGGAATATTAAGATGGGAAGCACTGCTTGAAGGATAGAAGCCGGGGACTTTGCACCCTGAAAGCAAAGTAGTCCTGCAGTTAAGGGCTTGGAGCAGTCAGTTTGTGTTTCAACCTCAGCATCCTCACTTATTTTAAACAAAGTAATTAATCTGACTGAGCATTTGATGACTTAGCTATAAAATAAAGATACTACTAATATCTACTTAATGAACTGCTTTGCTATTAAATAAGAGATGCATGTAAATCTTCTAACACAATGCTTAGCACAAAGAATTATTGAGCTGTAAACTTTATGCCAAGTAACTTTGTATAAGTCACCTGGGCTATTTGACTCTAAATTTTCACATCAGTAATAAGAAGAATTACTACCTCTTTTACAGGGTAGTTGTAAGGATTGAATGAGATAATTAAACATTTGGTGAACGCAGAGTATATATTGAGAACATATTAGCTTTCCCCTCTCATCTCTTAATATCATGTGGAATAGTGCAATATTTATAATCCTTACAACTCTTAAAGATCTATTGAGAAACTGCTTACTTCTATTTACGTAGTTTCTGGTCTCTATTAAATTCTATACCCGAGGAGACTCAATGACACCAGGGTTGAGTCTGCTCAGCTTTAAGAAGGAAATGCATGTGTATTTTTGCATGCCCTTATTTGTGTCAGAATATTTTTTCCACCCTTTCTCATTCACACCTCTTCTCACTTTCCAGAGTCCCCGTGTCAGCCTCATCCATGCTCTGTCCATGCTGGGTTACGATAACTCTTCTACTGCCACATCTTCTGCTTTGAGGGTGTTCTCCTCTGCTGACCAATGGATGGTTAGTAACCTGAAAAATGAATCCCTCTTCATTCCTTAATGGGTTAATTCATGTCAATATTTCTTTCCAGGTGTTACAATTTAACAGGATACTCTGGTAGCTTCTGTGCTTTAACCCAAAGCAATAATTTCTTTTATAGTCCCATTACCATTTTGAGTGCTAATAATGAAATATTTTTAGATTAGACACTCATTTGGGGCCCCTCATATCACACTCAGAGCTGTCTAGTTTGCTAATACATAGTAAATGCTGATCAGGACAGTAAAAACACTGGTATCCTAGAGACTTGGAAATGTTAACTTAACCTCTGTTATATGTGCCCAGGGAGTGGCATGGGCGCTGCAAGCATAAGGTCAAATAAAAAAATGTACTAAGTGAACATAATTTTTCCAAACCCTAGATAAAATTCTGCCCTCAAATCCTTACTGGAGTTCTATGTTTAATATTGGAAACCTAAGAATATTATAAAATTCCTCTTTAAAGCAGATATTTCACAAAGGAAGTATGGATAATATTGTGTGTTCACTGGCAGTATACTCTATTTATTCTTACTTAAGTCAGCATTGCCCAGTGGTTGCACCATCAATTTGGAATATTAATATACAGTCTATATTTGGGAGGCTGAGGCATGAAAATCACTTGAACCCAGGCGGCAGAGGTTGCAGTGAGTGGAGATTTTGCCACTACACTCCCACCTGGGCAACAAAGTGAGATCCTATCTCAAATAAATAAATATTAAATTAAATGAAATCTCAAATCTGTGGTGTAATTACAGGGTTCTAATGCTGATTATCTTTGTTCGTTTTATGAAATAGAAGTGTTGTTACCATTTCTTTTCACCTATTCTTTACAAAACTACTCTGGCTTCTTTATACAGAGAAAAAAAGAAAACAGCTCATGTTGCCTTTTGCCTCATCAGAAATGCATTCATCTGCCTAATATCTCCCCATCCTGTCAGGCCACAAATGGTGAGTCCTGCTATCTCTGATGAGTTACTGGCATTGAGTTTCTGTTTGAAGAAATCTTTAAGAAGATTATATCCTGGAACTGATCCAGGATATCACCTCCTGGCTTAAAATATTTGAAAACTCCCTTCTAAGTTGTGAATCCATTTACTTACCAATATTTGTTGAGCCCACCTATTCATAAGGCAACATGCTAGATACCACAGTGGATGTAAAAAGTCATTAGTTTCCTGAATGGTTCTTAACAATCTATTGGAAAGGTGAGGTATACACAATGTTATGGGGATTTTTCTCTATATCAGGGGCTGGCAAGCTACAGGCCATGTTTTGGCTCATGGCCTATTTTTATATGGCTCAAGAGCTAAAATAGGTTTTTATATTTTTAAAGGGTTATAAAAAATAAAATAAAACAAAGAACATGTGACATAGACTATAAGTGAAACACACATAGCCTGAGATATTTACCATCTGGCCCTTTGCAGAATAAGGTTGCCTATCTCTGCCCTACACAGTTCTGGATGTAACTAACAAGATGCAGTTCATTCCCAAAAGCAAATATTGGAGAATATTCAGTTCAGTTAACATGATCCCCATATAAACACACATAGCCCAACACTCTCCATGATGGATTTCTAGCAGTCACATATGTTTCTCTGTATCTTGAGAGAGAATTTATTCTGCCTTAATGATGTCTCCCATTGCTGGCTTGTGCAGAGGGACAATTGCAGCAAAATGGTCATAGAATCCTTAGCCAGTAGTAGTGTCTAAAGCATAGAAGCTGGATGAAGTTGTGGTCTTCAGTGTTTGAGAAAGGGGACATCCCTAGCATGACGCCTCTCCTGTGCATCCTGCTAAGCAGGAGACCAAAGGATTGGAGCTCTTAGTCGTCAGCTCTCATTTGCTATATCAGCCATCTTCCAGGTGCTAGGTTCCAGTACCTTTTCCACCACAGAATTTCTGCTGTCTTGCCCAGGAGTGCGATTCTCCCTGAAAATGTGGGAAGCCTTCTATTTATACCCACAGTCCTATATTCACATCTTTTCATCTAAATCTAGTTGACTAAAGAATGTTGGCTTACAGTGGGCTCTAAATTCAAAACCATTACTTAATCCTTAAAATTCAGAAGATGTCATGTAATGCACAAAAGATCTTCATGAAGATCTTCCAGAGCCCTAATCTGGTACTACCAGTTAATAATTCCATGGACTCTACAAATAACCATTTTATCATTCAACTCCTGTTACCTCCTAGACTCTGAGGCTGAGTGTCCAGTGCCACAGATCATCTTAATGGGGTTTGTCTCACTTGTTTATAGTTACCTCCTTGGCCTCTATGAATATTCGAGTTTGTAACTCCAGTTTTAAATCCTTAAAATTCAAAAGATCTACTTCATACCCCTTAGGATGGCTATTGTCAAACAAACAAACAAACAAAAAACACAGAACACATGTTGGCAAGGATGGAAAAATTGCAAACCTTGTGCACTGCTAGTGGGAATGTAAAATGGTGCAGCCTAGCCACTATGGAGACAATTTGGCGGTTCCTCAAAAAATTAAAAATAGAATTACCATATGATCCATCAATTGCACTTCTGGCTATATATCAAAAAGAATTAAAAGCAAGAACTTGAGCAGATATTTGTACACTCATGTTTATAACAGCATTATTTACAGCAGCTAACGTTGAGAGCAACCCAAGGGTCCACTGACAGATGAATGAATAAACAAAATGTGGTGTGTGTATATATATATATATATATGTATATATATATATATATATATATATATATATATATATATATATATGAATTCTACCCAGCCTCAAAAAGGGAGGAAATTCTCACACATGCTATAACATGATAAACATTGAAGATACTATGCTAAGTAAAATTAGCCAGTCATGAAAGGATATTGTGTGATTCCACTTACATGAGGTAGCTAGAGTAGTCAAATTCATAGAAACAGAAGGTAGAATGGTGGTTGCCAGGAGCTAGAGGAAGGTGGAAATAGGGAGTTATTGTTTAATGGGTACAGACTTTCAAGTTTGTAAGATGATTAAAGTTCTGAAAATGGATGGTGGTGATGGTAATGACACTACAGTGGCATTAATAGACTCACATTGTTATGCCACTGCAGTGTACACTTAAAGAGGTCAAGATGTTAAATTTTATATTACGTGGATAGATAGATAGATGATAGAAAGATAGAAAGACTAGAATAAAGGAGACTAATTAAAAGGCTATAGAAATGTTCTAGTCATGAGCTAATCAGGGCTACAATAAGATGTTGGCAGAAGAAATTAAAAGAAAAGGAAACAAGTTCTAATGCCAAATCAGTAAGACAGTCATGGAAGTCTTTGATATCTTATGACTGATGGAAGGCCCGTAGTAATTTTAAATCTCTCTAACCGGTGCTTCCAAGACGAAGCTTACATATCCAGCCCACACCTCTATTCCAGGCTTCAGAATCATGTATCCTTCTGCCTTTTGGATATTGTCATCTGAATGTTTTTCAGGTCCCTTAAATTAAAGATGTTCATTCTTGAACTTATAAACCTTTTTATTCTTCAGCTTTCTGATTTTTAAAAGAAATAGCACATATGCTTCTTTCTGTTATTTAAAAAAAGTACCTTTTTTTGCTGAACATTTGGAAACATCATCACAGTGCAAAAACTAAACAAACAATTCTGCCCCCAAAACATGTATATGTGTATGTATTTATTTGATAAATATATTTGTTAAACATAAAGTCTTTTATACATATAATTAGCTTTTAAAATAAAAATTAGCATTGAATTCTACATGCTATTTTGTAATTTAAAAAATTTTTGTGACCTACCATTATTGTCAAATGATACAGCAGGACCATTCTCCCCATCTAGTCATTAATCATAAGTTCTTATGTAAATCCATCTCCAAGGTTCTTAACTCTGGAATAGGTAGGCTAATACTTGACTCACTGGATTGCTGTCAGGCAGTAGTTCTAAACTTTACCGCATTTTAGAATCACCTGGAGAGCTATTTAAAACCCCCAAAGTGCAGGTCACACTACAGAGTCTGGGCATAGGAACTAGACATAAATAACTTTTGTCTCGTAGGTGATCCAATATACAAAAAAGAGAACCAAATTTCTAAGGGTTAAAATGAGATAACATAAAAACCTGGCACGCAGAAGGCACTCAATAATATATATCATTTACTGAATGTCTGCTATGTTCCCACACTGCACTAGCATTCTGTATCCATTACTTCATTTAACTCTCACCATGTCCCTATAAGGTTTTGTCATTCTACTTTTACAAAGTAGGGAATTGAATCTTAGATTGATTAAGAAATTTACTCAATGTCACACAAGTAAGGAAGCATGATTCAAACCCCAGTCTGCCAGATCAAAAAGTCCGCACCATTTTACCACATTACATTAGACTACAGAAATACTACTTTTTAATTTTTTCTTTCTAGCTTCTTCAATCCTATCTAAGCCATTTTATTTATTTATTTTTTCTAAGCCATTTTATAATAATGTTTTTCTAGCTGATTGGGTTGCAACTAAAGAAAAATTAAATCTGTATTTTGGGTGTTTTTTATTTGTACCTTCTGAAATGTTACTAATTCACATTTTTAGCCAAAGAAACCGAGGGTTGATATTTGTGGAAGAAGAAAATTGTGAATGTCTATTTGATATATTATGTTAATTGAATTTAAAATGTGGGTTTTATCCCTTTACCTGTAGGCCAGTTGACTATGAACAAATTAGAAACAGTTCTATTCATGGATTACACCTAAAGCCCTCTTCAGCCCTTCTTTAGATATGTAACATTTGCTATAGAAGACTCCGTATTGGCTTAAAGCAAACTAATCATCACCATCATCAGAAAATCAACCGCACATGTATACACATTTTACATACATATATAACTGTTTTGAAACAGACAAAGTTCCTGGCTGCACCATGATTATAATAAGGACTCTAATCATGACTCGGCTCTAATGAGTTGTTAGTGTAGTACCTCCATCTGTGGGTACTTAGGAATCCTGTCAATTTTTATCATGTAGTAAGACACAGTCAAATTATTTCCATAACTTTGGAAGTTACTCATTCCACATTTTCTTTATTATTTTTTGGCATTTGGAGGCTATTTTATTGCTCTGACCAAATGTCTATATCTTGATAGCAAAAACATTTGCTTTCTTCTCATCTGACTTGATATTTTTGGAAGAACAAATTGACAATTCCCGTGAATGATTCTGAGTTAGCAGGAGAGCATCTGCTGCAGAATAGCTCTTCCTTTTTTGAAGTTCACTGAGAAGCTAATTTCATTATTTTAAAAGCAAAAGTTATACCAGATCTGAGGCGACAGTAAAAGAAATCTAGACTCAAAGTCTTGACCACTCACAACCACAAAACCTTAAGTCATTAGTATTTAATTGGTAGATGCTAACAAATGCTATCCCATAATAATAATAATCCATGTCCATAGATATCACTCCTGAACTGGCCTACCTCGTATTCACTTACTTATATGGTCTTGACATTTGTCTTTGATAACTGATACTCAGGATGGATTCTGTTATTGAAAATATTAAATAGTGGAGAGAGAGACACACACATTCGCTGCATTTAATAATGCTTTCATATTAAAATTGGTAAAATCTTTTTAAAGCGATCATCATTACTCATTTAATCATTATGCCTAGGTTTATTTTGTCATTGTTCATTCTGTGAATTTTCTTCATCTAATTTTCAGCATTTCTTTAGTGGTCCATTGTTGCTACATGTGCACTTTATTGACTGAGTTTTTAAAAGATGCATATATCATTAAAGATCTTCGGAGTATGTTCAAAAATGTTAAAATGCTGGGCTTAGTAAAATTACAAAGGCACCATAAGCCAGACTGAAAAATATCTTGCCAAACAGTATTTCTCAGCAAGCCATTTGGCGAGACTAAATTTAAAAAAAAATAGTTGATACCTTGATGAAAAATATTTCTCCCTTCCTCCTTTTCTTCACATTAGTGTCCTTGTATCCATGCTAACATGGCTCTTGAGGTAAAACTCCGGAATAGATTTTGACATTGGACTGCATTCAAATAAAACAATGAATGTTACATTCTACAATTGTAGCATGGCTACAATTCTAAAATATTCCTGGCATTTGTGTGCAGTTGCACATAAATGTTTGTCTTCAGAGAATCAGAAGGAATTGAGAAGTTCTTAGTGACATATATTATCTTTAGAAAATTAGAGTTCTGTTGTAACCACTGGGCTCTGAAACTAGGTGCTTTTTCCAAAGTAAGGTGGATGGAGTGGATAAGTTTTTAGTAAGTAATCCAATATTTTTCTGAGTTTCCCATTGAGAAAAAGCCATACTTGAGTGGTTGCTAACAACTACACTCCACCTTTGTGACCCCCAGAAGAAAGAACATCACTGCCTAGTTTAGGTAACAGGATGGGTTTTGGGGTGGGGAGAAACCTATTTAGATAGTGTGGACAGAGAATGCCTCTGACGTGGCAACTTTAAAACTGAGTTCTGAAGCAAGAAAATGAGCAACCAATGTGAAAAATGATGTGGGGTGGTGGAGAACTTTCCAGGTAAAAGGGAAAGCAAAAAAAAAAGACCCTGGGGGAAAGAAGGTCCTATATTTCAGGAATGGGCAGTATATTAGTGTGTCTACAATGAAATGGTAAAGGAAGACATGGTGCAAGCGAGTATGTAATGGGCAAGACACATCATTAGGGGCCTTGTAAGAATAGTAAACAGGTGGGAGGCCGAGGCAGGTGGATCACGAGGTCAAGAGATCAAGACCATCCTGGTCAACATGGTGAAATCCTGTCTCTACTAAAAATACAACAATTAGCTGGGCATGGTGGCACACACCTGTAGTCTCAGCTACTTGGGAGGCTGGGGCAGGAGAATTACTTGAACCCAGGAGGCAGAGGTTGAGGTGAGCCGAGATTGCACCATTGCACTCCAGCCTGGGTAACAAGAGTGAAACTCCATCTCAGAAAAAAAAAAAAATAGTAAACAGGTCAAATTTCATTTATTGAGTTTTAAGCAGAGCAATGACATGATTTAACTTGAGTTTTAAAAAGATTTCTCTGACCACTTGATAATAAATCAGAAGAGGTGAGACCAATCAAGAAGCTATTAAAAAACAGAAATGACCAAAATGGATTCAAGAAGATAATTATAGAACAAATCACAAAGGTTAAAGATGGATCATTTTCAAAAAAGTTGGAGTAGCCTTATTTTTAAAAACTGTCAAAGGTAACAAAACAAACTTTGTACTTTTGGAAAGGAAGGTATCTATCAAGAAAAGCAAACATTATAGGAAAAAAATACATAATTTTGTTAATGATTTCCACAGAGGTATTTGATAAAATTCACTAGCCATTCCAAATTACGATAATAATAAATTAGGAAAAAGAGAAACTCCCTGGTGGATCTTGGAAGTCATACAAGGAGGTGATGTGAGCAAGCTCACCTGCTGCTACAAAATATTGGGTTCTCTAACTGCCCAGGTTGTGTTGTACCTGATGTGTACCATATGAATGCAGTCCAACGCCAAAATCTACTCGATTTTTACTTCAAGGGCCAGCAGAGCTGGCTGTACTCACCCACTGCTGATGCTCTGAGAGCGAATACTTTACTCTTTCTGGCTTGACCTTGCACAACTCCTTAGCCCTGGGGCTGGGGCATTTCACTGATAGTTTA